CGACATTGCCCCCCCGGAGCTCTTCATATCGCAACTCGTCTTCTTGCTTGCCCAACCCATCCTCCGCTTGTTGCTGGATCGTTGCGAGTCGGCCCCGGTCAAGTCCAGCCGGTGGCTCTTCGGCACTCTTTTCTTGCGCTCGCTACCCTTGGATGTTGCCCGAGCTACCATCTGTGAGTTCCAGACGCTTGGCCATGTCCTCGTCGACCCCGCAGAAAGTCTGGAGAATTTCAGACGCCGAATGATCCTGGGTCGAGCGCCACCCGCGACGTCTCTAAGATCCTTGGCGGCCCCGTTTCCCTCGTGATAATGAAACCCAGGGGCTACATTACTATCGAAGCGCATGAGTGCGCTGCTGTCTGCGCGCGCTAAGCGCGGCAGCTTGCGCGCGCTCTCGGCGAGATGCACTGCGATTACAACTTCAAATCTGAAGCAATTCCATGCGGGGCGCAGCGGTGCGAGGCGGGCTCCATGGTGCACATTGCTGCCAATCGCCGCGCGCAAGTTTCCTCGCGAGTCAGGGGCATAACCGATCGCAGTGACAGGCTGCCCCGCAGCGAGGCAAGCCACGCAGGCAAACGCTGCGCGCTTGGCAGCGCGATCAGGTCCAAGCGCGCGCACCACCAAAGCCCCCATGAACGACGCGCGGTGATCGTCGGGATCTTGGACAATAATTGATCGCCCCCAATCCAGTCTCCAATCGGGCATGTTGCGCGGTACTAAGAATGGTCCATTCCATGCTCCCCAGTCGTCCTTGCTCGCAGTAGGTCTACGATAGTCGACTCGGTGTCCTGGTTCGTAGTGGTGCTGTCCAGCTTGCTGGGCGATTGTTTTCGGAGCTCGATTACATGTCGCCACTGCAGTAACCTGCGTTTCGGCTCCTATGCCCGCTTGGCGCACCTGCTGCTCCCGGCTGTGATCGGCGTGCGTTGCACGCCATCGTAGATGCCTACGAACCGGCACACCTCGTATACTCTGATGTATAAGGTGCCTTGAGCAACGATACGGCGAATACCATTCTATGGGACAGTGGTGCCGAGCTTCGGAGACTAGCTCCAGGTCAGCATGCGACCACCATCGAGGCAAGGAACGCTCTGGAAGAAAAATTGAAGAACCGGAACATACGGATACAAGTAAAAAGGGTTTCTCGCTGAGGCCTTATTCGCGCGCAGTGCTTTTGCATTCTACGGCGGGGTACCACGCAGCATTGCAATGCTTGGGCGTCAGCGGACATGCCTGCCTGGTTTGAACCTGCCATGCCATGAATCAGGTGGTCTGGGGCTGTCCTGGGCGCCTCTTCGGCAGTCTTGGAGCCTTCTTGGCCCGTCTTGGGGCCGTCCTACGGGTCTGTCGGGTGGTCTTGGGGCTGTCTTGGGAGCCTCTTGGGCGCTCTTGGACCGTTGGAAGCTCGAAAACACGAGAAGCCAAAAACATTGGAAAGAATTACCCCAGTGCGACCCTACCTAGAATTTAGAGCCCCTAAGAACGCAGCATTAGTTGCTATGCTATGATATGCTATGCTATGTCATGATATGCTGCGCTATGCTATGCTATGCCATGCTATGCTATGCTATGCTATTAGATGCCAAGCTATGATATGCCATGCTGCGCTGAACTATGATATGTCATGCTGCACTGTGCTATGCTAAGATATGAGATGCTATGATATGGTATGGTAAGCTGCGCTATGATATGATATGTTATGATATGATATGATGTGTTATGATATGCTGCGCTATGATATGATATGATATGAAATGATATGATATGCTATGTTATGCTACTGCGGCGATGCGCTATGCTAAACTAAGGTAAGCTGAGCTGTGCTATGCTATGCTATGCTATGCTGCGCTGTGCTATGCTAGGCTGGGCTATGCTATGATATGTTGTGATGCGATATGCTATGCTACGCTATGCTATGCTATGATGTGCTCTGCTATGCTAAAGCTCAGCGAAACTAAGATGAAGGTAAGTTAGCTAAGATAGGCCTGAGCTAAGATGAAGCTAAGCTAAACTAAGATGAAATAAGCTAAGCTAAGATGAGATAAGCAACGCTAAGCTAAGGGGACGTAACTGGAGGAGCCGCGGGGCGGACACTGGGGGAACCGCCCGGGGCGAGTTGCACTGCCTGGCCCTTTAAGCATACCGAGTAAGAACCCTTCTAGGCAGAGCCTAGGTAGAGAACAATCAACATCGACGATGTTGGCCTCTTCGGGCCGTCCCGGGACGCCTCTCGGACCTCTCTCGGGGTCTTGGAGGCCACCTGGGAGCCTCGAGAGCCGTCGTAAGGCTGACTTGGGCTGATTGGGAGCGTCTTGGGCCATACTTTCGCATTCTGGGGGCTCCTGGGGGGCGTCTTGGGCCCTCCTGGAGCGCTGTGGAGGCTCCCCGGAAAGGCCGGGGGAGCGGTACCGGGAGCGTTCCCGAGATGTGGCGGGGAGGTGTGGGACCCGAGGCCGGGGAGGGGCGGTATCTATTTATATGATTATATGTATGTACATATGTATATATATATATATATACAAACATACATACATACATACATACATACATACATACATACATACATACATGCATGCATGCATGCATGCATGCACGCATGCATGCATGCATACATGCATAAAAATATCAAGTTGGGAATGTGTATTGTATTAAGAATACTAGTAGCATGCGTAGCGGTCGTGGTAGACCCGTTGCCCGACGTAGGCCCGTTGCCGAACACCGGCCTGTTGCCGGGCTGCCCGCGCCAGTGTTGTGGATCTGTTCCACGAGGGGATGTCGGCGCGCGGTAGTCCGCACTGGTCATCCACAGTGTCGTGGAAGATTGCAAGAAACAGAAACAGACACAAGTGCGTAGCCAGCTCCGCTACCAAGTCGGCAAGGTGCCTCACGACTGAGGCTCGCCAGGATGTGACGATGTGGGGATAGATACGTAGAACTTCCTAGACTCAAAAAGTAGTCAGGAAGACTAATCAGATCCGGGCGTCGACATCTGAGCACAAATATCCCCCGATGCGCTCGCTCCTGCTTTGCTCCCGCCCGCTCATACAGCTGAGCAGTTGCCAATCAAATACTCCGCCCAAGACGGCGCAAGAGGCCTCCAACATGGCCCCAAGACGGCTCAAGAGAACCCCAAAAGGCTACCAAGATGGCCCGAGAGGCCTCCAAAATGGTCCAAGACGGCCAAAGCGGCCCAACACGGCCCAGAAGGCCTCTAAGACGACCATCAGGGCCTCAAGAGGACCGAAGACGCCGACATCTTGTATGTTCCCTTGGCTGTTACAAGGCGTTCGTAATCTCACCTGTTCGGACTTCCGTCAACCCAAGACGGCGCAGAAGGCCTCCAAGCTGGCCCAAGACGGCTCAAGAGAGGGCCCCAAGAGGTCCCCAAGAGGCTCTCAAGAGCCTGGGCCTCCAAGACGCCCCAAGACGGCCCAAGAAGCCCCAAAGACGCTCAACAAACCTCCAGGAGGGCCCCAAGACGGCCCTGAGAAGCCCTCACGATAGACTCCGAAGGCGCCAGACTGCGCAAAGAGCCCCCTGAGATGGAGCCAGGAGCCTCCAAGGGGCCCCCAGAGGCCCCCAAGACCCCTCAAACAGGACTCCAAGAGACCCCAAGAGAGGAGGAAGGATGAGGAGGAAGGGAGAAAGACGACGACCAACACGACAAGAGACACCCCGACACGACGCGGAAGAGCGCGTCGCATTTCACGGCTCTCCCAAGCTCGGGACACGAGGCGTCACGCGATATGGGTGGCCTCGTGTGCGCTCCTCGAACAGTCGCCACCCAGTGCTGGCCTGCCACGATGGCGGGACTTGCCGCAGGCAGCAGAATAGCACCCAGGCTTGGTGGGGCTCTTCACCTTGCTCTCCGTGTCAACGGCAAGAACCGCCGCCTCGGTCTCCGCCGCCTTGGCTTCGGCTGGCTTCTCCTCGGCAGCCGCCGGCGCCGCCTTCCTCTTGCTCCACGGCCACGTCCACCCAGCGGAGATCTGGAGCGCACTCAGCGGTGGGCTGTGGGTCTGGTTGGCCACGAAGGCCATCTGCGCGTCAGTCGCATCGCAGTACTTGTCCCACACCGCCTTGCGCGACTTGCACCCCTCCTGGTCGAGACCCTCCTTCTCTGCCCAGGCGTCGTGCCTCCACAGCTCGGTCCTCATGGGCGCCTTGGGGCATCCGGAGGGCATCCTCATGTAGCACCCAGCCTGCGTCAGCTCACTCAAGACGTCCTCAGCCGGAGCAGGGCCAGGGGCCAGGTATTGCTTCTGCATGGGGGCCTCCGCTGCGGCTGGCTGAGCGTTTTTCTTCTTGCTCCAGGGCCATCTCTCGGAAACAGAGACAGAGCTGCCGGGCTGAGCAGCGCAGCAGAAGAGCAGGAAGAGGACGGCCTGTGCCGAAGCTTGCATCGCTGTATCTAGCCACGGTTGTCCAGAGGAGGTACTGACGAAGAGTCGGTTATGCAGGATGGCTTCAGCCAGAACGGCCACAGAGGGAGAGGAAGACGACGAGGATGTGAGAGAGAAAGACGACGAGGGGAAGCAGGAGAACGACGAGAAGGACGAGGAGGACGAGGGTAGAGAGAAGCAAGCGAGGGACGACGAATAGGAGGGAGGAGAAATCAAAGAGGATGCAAACCTTGGATCTCGACACGACGCGGGCGAATATTGCAAGATGGTCGCAGTGAGATCAGCGGCATTCGATTATTCAGGCTGCCCCACTACAAAACACGTGTTGTATGCGCGCCCGCTGTTGATACACCTTCCCTCCCCATTCCACACTCTCTCTCCCCCGTCGTCTCTTCTTCTTCCTCTTCTTCTTCTTCCTCCTCCTCTCCTTCCTCCTCCTCTCCCTCCTCCTGCTCCTGCTCCTCAGCCTCCTCTTCCTCTAACTTCTCAGCGTCCCACTCCTCCGTCCTCGTCTTCATCTGTTCCTCCTCTATGTCCACCTATCCTCTTCCTCCTCCTCCTCATACCACTGATATCCTGATCCTTCGAACCTTACTCAATCAACGCCTGCAGATGGCCCCATGCCGGCCAAGGACTGGCCAGAGATTTCCCCAATACCACCCAAATACTCTTGAGTCTCCCGAACGGCCAAAGGCAGCACAAGAGACCGTCTATACGGCCGAAGACGGCCCCAGAAAATGCAAAGACGGCTCCCAACAAGCGCCGAACTGAAGATTGAAGGTGTCGCATTCTTGGGTTAGGTCCGGCAGTAGCGACTACAGGCGGTCCACCGCCATATCGCACGAAGAAACTCAAACTCTAAAGAACATCGAAACCAATTAAGCCCAAACCTGCGAAAATCTCAAACGCCTAAAAAACTTCAAACAAATTCGAAGCCCAAACCTGCGAAAAAAATCAAAAGCCCCCAACAACTTCAAAGCATCTCGAAGCCCAAACCTGGAAAAATCCCAAACTCTAGAAAAACCCACAAAAATCTGTAAGCCGAACCTGTGAAAATCCCAAACTCTAAAATAACTCTCAAAACAATAGTTAAACCAAAACCTGGGTAAACAAAAAACGCAAACCAAACAAAACCGTGAAACCGAAACTCAAAAATCGAAAAACAACAACTGTAAACAAGGTTAAACAATCCAAAGGCTTAACAAATCTAAACGCCTGAAAACTGCTTGTTTGTGATATTTGCAGGTTTGATGATTTTTAAGACGAAAAACTTATTATCGCTTTCAACCCTGAGCCCAAACCTGCGAACACCTCAGCCCGCCAAAAAACAAAAAACTCTAAGCCAAAACCTGGAAACATCTCAAGCCGAAACTCCAAACACACGCACAACAAACTCGAACAAGAACTCTAAAATCAAACCCGGTGACCTCGGAAACTAAACAAAAAACTTAGAGCAGTTTTTTAAACAACTTGGCCCTTGTTTGTTGAGTTTTCAAGCGCGCATATGTTTACCGATTTCTATGTTTCAAGTTGTTCTGGAGTTTCGGTTTCATGTTTTGGGGGGTGAGATTTTCCCTGGTTTGGGCTTAGAGATATTTGAGTTTTCTGCTGGTTTTGAAATTTTCCCAGGCTTTGGTTTAAAGATTTGTTTAAGTGTGTTGGGGGGTTGAGTTCCCTGTTGTAGATTTCCCGAAGAGTTTGGAATGTTTTCTCGGTGGACATCATGTAGTATAACTGCCGAACCTAATTCTTGGGGAAACTGGAGCGATGAAAAGACATGGGCTGAGACCCCCAACGACGATTGTTTAACGCGACGAAGCATCGCGTGAGGCCGCCCAACCTACCGCTGCTGGATCGCGTTAGTACTCACTGCTGGGCGACGAACGTCATCATCGCGTCCTCCGCGCCGCAGAAGCCGTTCCACACGGCCCCGCGCTGCTGGCACCCAGCCTCGTCGAGGCTGTGCTGCTCCGCCCATGTGTCGTGCCTCCACTTCTGGGTCTGCATGGGCTTCTTGGGGCACCCAGAAGGCATCCGCATGTAGCACCCAGGCTTAGTGGGGCTCTTCACCTTGCTCTCCGTGTCAACGGCAAGAACCGCCGCCTCGGTCTCCGCCGCCTTGGCTTCGGCTGGCTTCTCCTCGGCAGCCGCCGGCGCAGCCTTCCTCTTGCTCCACGGCCACGTCCACCCAGCGGAGATCTGGAGCGCACTCAGCGGTGGGCTGCGGGTCTGGTTGGCCACGAAGGCCATCTGCGCGTCAGTCGCATCGCAGTACTTGTCCCACACCGCCTTGCGCGACTTGCACCCCTCCTGGTCGAGACCCTCCTTCTCTGCCCAGGCGTCGTGCCTCCACAGCTCGGTCCTCATGGGCGCCTTGGGGCATCCGGAGGGCATCCTCATGTAGCACCCAGCCTGCGTCAGCTCACTCAAGACGTCCTCAGCCGGAGCAGGGCCAGGGGCCAGGTATTGCTTCTGCATGGGGGCCTCCGCTGCGGCTGGCTGAGCGTTTTTCTTCTTGCTCCAGGGCCATCTCTCGGAAACAGAGACAGAGCTGCCGGGCTGAGCAGCGCAGCAGAAGAGCAGGAAGAGGACGGCCTGTGCCGAAGCTTGCATCGCTGGATCTAGCCACGGTGGTCCAGAGGAGGTACTGATGAAGAGTCGGTTATGCAGGATGGCTTCAGCCAGAACGGCCACAGAGGAAGGGGAAGACGACGAGGATTTGAGAGAGAAGGAAGACGAGGAGAAGCAGGACGACGACGAGAAGGACGAGGAGGACGAGGGTAGAGAGAAGCAAGCGAGGGACGACGAATAGGAGGGAGGAGAAATTAAAGAGGATGCAAACCTTGGATCTCGCTGGACGAGGGGATTTCGACACGACGCGACGCGGGTGCATATTGCAGAATTGTCTCAGTGAGAATAGCGACATTCGAATACTCAGGCTGCCCCACTACAAAACACGTGTTGTACGCGCACCCGCTGTTGATATACGTTCCCCTCCCTATTATACCCTCTCTCTCCCCTGTCGTCGCTTATTGCTATTGGTGTTCTTATTATTTTTGTTCGTAGCATTATTTGTCTTATCCGTATTCGAATGTTTCCTCATATTACTCTATTAATCTTATTCGTATTATTATGAGTATTCGCAATATTACTATTATCCGTATTACTACTCTTATTATTATGTTCTTGTTTTCATTACCCGCATTGATTGATTTTACTCCTCCTCCTCCTCCTCCTCCTGCTCCTCATCCTCCTCTTCCTTTAACTCCTCAGCGTCCCACTTCTCCGTCCTCGTCTTCATCGGTGATCCTTCGAACCTTTCTCAATCAACGCCTGCAGATGGCTCCATGGCGGCCAAGGACTGGCCAGAGATTTCCCCGAGACCACCCAAATACTCTTGAGTCTCCCGAAAGGCCCAAGGCAGCACAGGAGCCCGTCAATACGAGCGAAGACGATCCCAGAAAATGCAAAGACGACTCCCAGCAAGCGCCGAAATGAAAATTGAAGGTGTCGCATTCTTGGGGAAACTGGAGCGATGAAAAGACATGGGCTGAGACCCCCAACGACGATTGTTGAACGCGACGCAGAATCGCGTGAGGCCGCCCAACCTACCGCATCTGGACCAAAGACTGGCGCGTTAGTACTCACTGCTGGGCGACGAACGTCATCATCGCGTCCTCCGCGCCGCAGAAGCCGTTCCACACGGCCCCGCGCTGCTGGCACCCAGCCTCGTCGAGGCTGTGCTGCTCCGCCCATGTGTCGTGCCTCCACTTCTGGGTCTGCATGGGCTTCTTGGGGCACCCAGAAGGCATCCGCATGTAGCACCCAGGCTTAGTGGGGCTCTTCACCTTGCTCTCCGTGTCAACGGCAAGAACCGCCGCCTCGGTCTCCGCCGCCTTGGCTTCGGCTGGCTTCTCCTCGGCAGCCGCCGGCGCAGCCTTCCTCTTGCTCCACGGCCACGTCCACCCAGCGGAGATCTGGAGCGCACTCAGCGGTGGGCTGCGGGTCTGGTTGGCCACGAAGGCCATCTGCGCGTCAGTCGCATCGCAGTACTTGTCCCACACCGCCTTGCGCGACTTGCACCCCTCCTGGTCGAGACCCTCCTTCTCTGCCCAGGCGTCGTGCCTCCACAGCTCGGTCCTCATGGGCGCCTTGGGGCATCCGGAGGGCATCCTCATGTAGCACCCAGCCTGCGTCAGCTCACTCAAGACGTCCTCAGCCGGAGCAGGGCCAGGGGCCAGGTATTGCTTCTGCATGGGGGCCTCCGCTGCGGCTGGCTGAGCGTTTTTCTTCTTGCTCCAGGGCCATCTCTCGGAAACAGAGACAGAGCTGCCGGGCTGAGCAGCGCAGCAGAAGAGCAGGAAGAGGACGGCCTGTGCCGAAGCTTGCATCGCTGGATCTAGCCACGGTGGTCCAGAGGAGGTACTGATGAAGTAATCGCTACGTAAAATTGCAGGAGCGCTGGAGCCACAACGACCATGGAGGGGATATATGATGATGCGGAGGAAAGGGCGAACGCAATCGATATCAACGCGGATACGTGCGCGGTGTTCGTCACCCCCTCGCCCTGGATAAGCACGGCGATAAAAGCAGAATGTAAATCCGCTGGGCTCCGCTTGCTGGGGGTGAGAAAGCGCGTGAGATGACTGGCTGCTGCCCTCCACGTTTCCTCCTCCCGTGGGGCCAAAAATCCTGATAGAGTAGGGGGGGGCGGGGGGGGGATGGGGAGGGGGAGGAGTAGCTCGCCAACGCACCCCGGAGGCTCTACGGGGCCTCCACAGAGCCCCCAGACGGCCCAAGGAGCGCCGAGACAATCCAACAGAGCGTCGAGGAGGCCCCAAAAGCCAAAAAAAACACCCCTTCCTCCTAGGCGAACGTACAGGTTCGACACACACACACACACATGAAGCCGGCAGCCCGCAGAGGAGCCTCAGGCGCGGTCGGCATGTGGAGGTGCAAATTGCGAATGAACTCAATCGATTGCGAAATGATGAATCGATCCATCCACGGCCATGCAGACTGGTGGTGGAAAACAGGAGGCGCTGCAAAGCCAGGATGCAGAAGCCAACGAACCCGCGGAGCGCAAGCTCGACGCAAGGAGTTGAAGCGCAAACAGCAGCTTGATGATAATCCCACCAGCCCTCTTGGGAGAGGTTTATCACTGTTCCTTCTTAATATACACCCCCTCCCCCAGGCAGGCGGGGGCCAACCAGGCACCATGCCGACACCATGACCACCCGCCCCCCACCATCTCCGTCAAAAACAATGCAAACCGCACTCTGCCTCCACATGTGGAGCATGCGCGGCCAACCCGATGCGCCCCCCCCCCCCACCACCCCTGCAAAAAAACAATGCTAAGTACACTTTGGGGCAAAGTATTGAGTCATGTTCGTGAGGCCCGCGAGATCTTCGTATTGTTTTTGAAAAGGACGGCCGGGGTGTCAGCATATTCCCTGCTTCGCGCAGAACTACCATCCCTGACACAAAACAATACAACATGCACCTCATGGCTAAATCTGGATTATGCGCGACCATCTCGCGATCACTGCCAAGTGGCTTTTGACAGGGGCGGCGGGGGTGGTGGCGCGTGGCCTGCTGCGCGCAGGCCCAGCAGACACAATGATGGGTATCGGCTTTCGACAAAGATGGCGGGGGCCGACATGTTTCCCGATGTGTGCTGTCACGTGCGCAAGCGCACCTGACGCACTCTGCACGTGCCACGAACGCGGCGCACCTGGCGCGGCTGGAGAGTGCGGCACACGTGGCGCACTCGGAGCATGTGACGCATCTGGTGCACCAGGCGTGCCTGGCACGCTCGGGCCCCAGGAGAGCCTGGCGCGCGTGGCGCCCCTGCCACGCGTGGCGCACCTCGCCCAAACGTCGCGCACCTGGGGTCGGCTTTGGTTCCCAGTAGCTGTCCAGCCAAAAGCGACCGCTGAACATGCTCTGGCTCGGGTGTTACTTATGCGTAGGGAGGGCGGGTGGGAATGAGCTAGACGGCTTGCGGGCGGCTGGGTGGTTTGACCCCTCCCCCATACCCCCTCCCCTGGACTTGGACGGGGGGGTCGCTGGTGGTTGGAGCGTTCATAATGGCCCAACACGGCTCCAAGAGCGCCTCGGAGAGCCCAAAATGAGCTACCAGATGGCGCAAGATAGCCTAAGATGCCTCAAGATGACCCCCAAGATGCTCCAAAAGACCCCAAGACCGCTCCAAGACGGCTCCAAGAGGCTTCCGAGACCGCCAAGGAGGCCCCTTGGCGGTCTCGGAAGCCTGCCACCGGGCTACGCGAACGAAAAATATCGAGCTGACATAGAACTGAAACGAAGGAGATGCGAACTGCAGCCCCAGGTGCGGATGCGCACCCAAGGTGCAATGCAAGCGCAAGAAACTTAAACAGACCACGGCCAAGCCAGCCAGCACCCCATGCCAAGGCGCAAGCAGCAAGGCGGTAAGGTTACCGCTGGGCAAGCTGCCAGACGAAAACAGGCGCCGACCACTAGAGGTGCCCCTGGAAATTGCCACGCATACCCCTGGGAGCGCAAGAATGTCAGTGCCCCGGCCAGCACGAGAGGTGCAAGGCACCGCAAGGCCGCGCCCCCGAGACACCCCAGAAAGACAACAAGCCAAGGCGGTAAGGCAGGCACACACACACACACCAACACACACCAACACACACGCAAGCACGCACGCACGCACGCACGCACGCACGCACGCACACACACACACACACACCTTTTAAGTCGACGGCGCAGAGGAGCCTAAGGCGCGGTCGGCAGGTGGAGGTGCCAATTGCGAACGAAGTTCATCGAACGCGCCATGAAGAATCAATCCATCCACGGCCATGCAGATTGGTGGTGGAAGAAAAGGGACGCGCTGTAAAGCCAGGATGCATTGGCCAACGAACCCGCGGAGCGCAAGCTCGACGCAAGGAGTTGAAGCGCAAACAGCAGCCTGATGCGAATTCACCAGAGAGGCGACGAAAGGACTGCAAAGCTGCCAGACCGGCCAGCTTGGCGGCGACGCAAAGCGCGCAGCTGCGCGACAAGACGACGCCACCTGCCTTGCAACAGACACAACAAAGCGCCGCGCAAGTGCAAGAGGCCTGATGAAACACAGCGTCCGAGGCTGACATGGCCTGCACAAAAAACAGAATTGAACGCGGGCGACCACGAGCAGAAACCGCTTCACGCGGTGACACGCGTGGGTAATGGACGGCGCAGGCGAATCCATGGGTAGTGGATAGGCACGTACGTGGCCAACGTGCAATGCGGACGCCACCGCTAAAAGAGCAACCCCACCGAAGCCAAAGCCGCAAAGCTACCATGGGTAGGTAAGGCCGAAACGACAATAAGACAACAACCGAAGCACAATAGGGACTGTACGCGTCACCTGAAGGTCGCAACACTCCGACCAAAGGCGACAAGCAAAATAAAACATACAAAGCGAACCCGCCACCGGGCTACGCGAACGAAAAATGCCGGCGATCAAGCAGATATACAGCTAAAACCAAGAAGATGCGAACTGCAGCCCCAGGTGCGGATGCGCACCCAAAATGCAATGCAGACGCAAAAGACTTATAAACAGACCGCGGCCAAGCCAGCCAGCACCCCATGCCAAGGCGCAAGCAGCAAGACGGTAAGGCCACCGCTGGGCAAGCTGCCAGACGAAAACAGGCGCCGACCACGAGAGGTGCCCCTGGAAATTGCCACGCATACCCCTGGGAGCGCAAGAATGTCAGTGCCCCTGCCAGCACGAGAGGTGCAAGGCACCGCAAGGCCGCGCCCCCCGAGACACCCCAGCAAGACAACAAGCCAGGCAA